AAGTGAACTGAGCCTGAGGAACCTATGGAACACCATTCATTGTGTCAGTATTTGAATTAAGGGGGTACAAAAAGAACTGAATGAAAGGAGCAGAATATATTTGAAGAAATAATACTTAAATCTTCCCAAATTTGATTAAGGATGAATCTACAACTCAAAGAAGTGCTCACCAAGACACATCTGAATCAAACTGTTAAAAGACAAATAGAGAAAATCTTAATACAGAAAACAAGAACAACCCAATTCAAAAATAAAGGACTTCGGCTGGGCATGGTGGCTCACGCCTGTAATCCCAAGCACTTGGGAGGCTGAGGCAGGAGGATTGCTATGAATTCGAGACCAGCCTGGACTACATAGTGAGTTCCAGGTCAGTCTCAACTACATAGTGAGACCCTGTCTCAAAAAACCAAAAAATAAATAATAAATAAATAATAAAGGACTTCATGGGGCCAGGGATTTAGTCCAGTGGCACCGCACCTGCCTCGCAAGTGCAAGGTCCTGAGTTCAATCCCCAGTACCAAAAAAAATAAAGGATTTCAGTTGACATTTCTGCTAGAAAATAAACAGCTGGTTTGCAGTCGTGTTCTAGTTTGGCCAGCCTCTTTAGTCATGGGGGAAATGCAAGTCAAAGCCAGTCAGATGCCCCTATTAATGTGGCTCTAATCAAAACATTGAAAAATATGGGCCGGGGATTTAGCTCAGTGGTTTGGTGGCCTACCTTGCAAGCGCAAGGACCTGAGTTCAATCCCCGATAACCCCCCAAAACAAAAGCCATTGAAAAATAACAAGTGTTCACAGAGATAGCAGAAATTGGGAGCCTTGTGCATCACAGGGAGGAATGTGAAACAGTGCAACTACTGTGGTAAACGATTGGGTACTTCTTCATTCAGTTAAATGTAAAAACCATATTACCCAGCCATTCCACACCTAAGTACACACCTTAAAAGCACTGAAAACAAGTATTGAGAAAAAAACCCGTACACAAATGCTCTCCACGGCGCATGCCATAATAGCCAGTAGGTGGAAATAACCCAGATGGCTGTCAAGTCAGAATGGATGATCAAATGGAGTATGATGAAGAGGAATAAAGTACTGATGAGTGCTTCACGTGGAGGAACACTGAGAACATGGTGAAAGGAGGCAGATATGGTAGACCACACCTTGTGTGATTGCCATTTACAGATGGTCCCCAACCTCAATGATTTTCCTTTATTTTTTTCCATTATCATGGACTTAACACCAGTGAAAATTGAGAAGCATCTTGACTTAGGATGGTTCAGTTTACCAGTGATGGGTTTTTATGATGGGTTTATCAGGACATTAAATGTATTCTTTTTTTTTTGGTACTGGGGATTGAACTCTGGTCCTTGAGCTTGCAAGGTAGGCCACCAAACCGCTGAGCTAAATCCCCGGCCCCCATTAAATGTATTCTTGACTTATGGTTTATTGATATGTAACCCCATTACAAGTCAGGGCACATCTGTATATGAACTATCCATAGATATGGGTATTTGCCCGTCATAGAATAGGCAAACCCAGAGACAGAAAATACATTAGTGGTTGCAGGAAGAGTGAGGAATAACTGCTTAGTAGGAAGATTTTCTTTCAGGATGGGGATAATAAAATATTTTCCAGAGCTAGGTCACAAGTTATAATTACTGTGAATATGCTAAATACTTCTGAGTGGTACACTTTTTTTTTTTTTTTTTTTTACCAGGGATTGAACTCGGGTCCTTGCGCTTGCAAGGCAGGCCACCAAACCTCTGAGCTAAATCCCCAGCCCTGTGAGTGGTACACTTTGAAATGATTTAAATGAACAGTTTTTTGTTTTGTTTTGTTTTGTTTTGTTTTGTTGAGATGGGGTCTTGTTGTGAAATTCAAGCTGGCATTCACTATATGCCCCTGGCTGTCCTTGAACTCAAGGGTATCCTCCTGCCTCAGCCTCCCAAGTACTGAGATTATAGGCATGCACACCTCAATGACCAGCCTAGATGGTCAATTTTATGTGCATTTTGCTACACCTAAACAATACACACCTACATATCCTCAAAAGAGGGCCATAAGATTTTAAATAGTATATGCTATAGGATCTGCAGATAGAACCCAAACAAAAGTGTTCCCACTGAATTTGGACAGCACTGAGAAGTAAGGGAGGACTCATGGGACGGTGGCTGGTTACTAAGAGGAGGGCCTTCCTGTTTGGGCACCAGGTCAGCAGACAGCCGCAGCACTGGCTTCTCTTCCTGTGCTGCTCCTAGGAACACATCCTGTGGGGCTGGCTGTTTCCTGCCCAGTTCATAATCCACTTGCCAAACCACCCACCCAACCCAGAAGAGCCAGCTCTGGCTTCTGTGCCGTGCCAGTTTCACTTCTGTGCTACTGGGTAGGGGTCACCACTCTCATGGTTGAGATCCTTTTTTGGTCCAGGATGATGCTGGCCCTTCCTACCACTGTTCTTATGAATGCAGAAGCAAAGGGCATGGATAGCTCTTCATGCATTACTGAACAGCAACTTGAATATTATAGCAATATTAAATTTGTCCCCTCATCTTTCATTTGTCCACCTGTCCATTTTTGGGGCAGCTGTTCCTCCCCCCCCACACATCCTTTATTATTTCATTTTGTGATGGGTGGCTTGGTGGAACAGAGCAAGCAAATATACCTTGCTTCTGCACTTTTAGGAGGGGACTATGTAGCCTCAATTCTTTTCAGCTTCTTCTCTCTCACTGAGCCTGAGCAGCTGCCCAAGGAAAAACCTGCCAGCCCTGATAGCCAGCATGCAACAGCTGACCAGGCCCGAGGGAGAAAGTGGGTGCTGTAGAAAACTGCACTTACATTTTACAGATTGGTTTTCACATCAGAAACTTTCTCGTCCGAACCTTAAGTCTTAGTGTGAACCCTGTGAAGTGTCTTCCCAGTTGCTGAGTCGTGAATGCAGGTGTAACCTAATAATAATAATAATAATAATAATAATAATAATAATAATAATAATAATAATAATAATAATAATATCTGGGTGTGATGGAGCACACCTGTAATCCCAGCACTCCAGAGACAGAGGCAGGAGGATCGCTGTGAGTTCGAGACCAGCCTGGGATACATAGTGAGTTCTAGTTCAATCTCAAGTACGTAGTGAGACCCTGTCTCAAAAAAAACAACAAAAAAGCCAGGCGTGGTGGCACATGCCTGTAATCCCAGCACTTGGGAGGCTGAGGCAGGAGGATCACTGTGAGTTTGAGACCAGCCTGGGCTACATAGTAAGTTCCAGGTCAGTCTCAACTACATAGTGAGACCCTGTCTCAAAAAACCAAAAAAAAAAAAAACAACAACAAAAAATGAATGTAGGTGCAATACGAAGTTGTAGTATGTTCACTTTTTTTAAGATTTGTCTTCCTGATGATACTTCCTATTCAACGAAACTTAGAAGGCATTTTGTTCCTCTATAACTTCAACTGAGTATAAATTCTTTTCAAGCCAAAGTTCTGCTTTTCTTTCATTTTGAGCCTCTCATAAATTAGACCTAAATAAACAGCAGCCAGTTTCCAAATGCTTTTGGCTTCCTCAGAGCACACTGCAGCTGTCTCACATAACCACAGTTCCGCGCCATGGCCTGCCTGACACACCTCTAATCTGGAACAGTTCCTCGCTCACCCTGTGGGTTCCTGCTGGAGGAATGAGACACACTTAGATGGGGGCCAGTCCCATATGGGGCTGTCCACTACAGGCCATGTGCTCACCCTGGTCTCACTGTATACTTCTGCACCCACTCCTGTTGCGCCCCGCTTCCTCCAGCCAGGCAGGTGCAGCACATGGGCCTGCCCTCTGCTTTCAGAGGAGACAGACACAGGCGGAACCTTGGACCAGGGAGGGCAAAGTGTCATTTTATAGTTGGGAACAGAGTGCTGTGGAAGTTATTAGGGCAACAGACAGTTCCCATTAAAGAGTTGTTTTGTTTTGGTAGTGAGGATTGAACCCAGGGCCTTCATACTGAGCTATGTCCTCAGCTTTATTTTTATTTTGAGACAGGGCCTTCTAAGTTGCTCAGGCTGAGTTAGAACTTGCAGTTTTCCTGCCTCAGCCTTGAAAATTACAGGTCTGTGACACCACACCTGGATAGTTTGTCTCTTGACTCTGGTCTTCCTTCCATTTCATTTTTTTTTTTTTTTTTTTTTTTTTTTTTTTTTTTTTTTTTTTTTTTGTACCAGGAATTGAACTCAGAACCTTACACTTGCAAGATGAGTGGCAGCACCACTGAGCTAAATCCCTGGCCCAGATGACTTTTTAACAGGAAGCCTCCCTACATACTTTCCCTCAGTCAGGATTGAGGCATGTGCTGCAAGGGAATCTGGGAGCATGAGGCTACTAACATGGGAGACTGGCTTTCCCAGCCTGGAAGTCAGGGACTGGCTGTTGGATCCCTCCTGTCCCACCCCCAGCCAAGTTTTAAAAACCCCCAAGGTGTGTAGCTGAGTTTTGGGCTTACTGGTATTGTTAGCCAGTTTTGAATAAATAAAACATAGTTCAGGAAGACCAGGTTTTTTCTCAACCTTTTAAATCTTTGGCATTCCTATAATAAATCATTTTTCTAAATGTGAGGAGTAGGCACTGTGCCAGGGGCTATATATCTTTTTCATAACCCCAAAACACCACGAGAAAGTTGTACTTTACTAATTTAAAGGTTAGAAACTGAGTAAACATGTAATTGGTAACTTTATCCATAGTCATAAAATTGATAAATTTTGAACTGTTCTCAGATCAAAAATGTAGGTTTTCACTTTTTTTTTTTTTTTTTGGAGACAGTCTCACTATATAATTTAGGCTGGCCTTAAACTCATTATTTAGCCCCGGCTGGCCTTGAACCTGCAGCTATCCTCCTGAGTGCTGAGATTGTAGGTGTGCACACCACCATGCCTGGTTGTCGTATAGATGGCTATGTTTTGCTTTCCTCTTCCTCTTCCCTGCCAACTCCAATCATGTCTTTTTTTTTTTTTTTTTTCCAGTGAAGAAAAAATGACTGCTGCCCGCATTAGGAAATGCCACAAATGTGGTACTGGCCTCATCAAATCTGAAGGCTGCAATCGAATGTCTTGCCGCTGTGGTGCCCAGATGTGCTACCTCTGTCGAGTGTCTATAAACGGATATGACCATTTCTGCCAGCATCCCCGCTCACCAGGAGCCCCTTGCCAGGAGTGTTCGAGATGCTCCCTCTGGACTGACCCCACTGTGAGTAGATGCATGGCTGCCTGTGTCAGCGTGGGAGAAAATATCCTTATGTTCCTGTGATGAAAAATATTTTCTGTATGCATGGCAAATTCTGACCCATGAAATAATACAGGAAGTTACATAGACTAGTAACCCCAGAAGAATTTGAGAAAGCAATCAAAACTCCTCATCAGAAGGGTTGGGCTGTGGCTTAGTGGTAGATGGCTTACCTAGCATGCATGAGGTCCTGGGTTCCATCCCCAGCAGCACAAAACAGACAGAAGCTGCTCATCAGAGGCATGATGGTACATGCTGTAGTCCCAGCTGTTTGGGGGGCTGATGTAGGAAAATCACTTGAGCCCGAGAGTATCATCTTCGGTTTTAAGGACAAATTCTCTCGATCCTTTAGGCAACAAACTTTTTCCTGTTTCATCTGAAGTATTCCAGAGCACAAAGAAGTGAGAGTTGCCCAGTATGTACTGATACCAAACCAGACAGAACCCTGACAAAGAAAACTGGTTATCCTACAAATCTCACAAGTTTTTAATTTTTTGAATAAATATTCGCAAATAAGTTGACCAAGTAAGTTTGCTCTAGATCTGCAAGAATTGTTTTGTTTTGATTTGGTTTAGTTTTGGTTTTTTGAGATAGGATCTTGCTGTTAGTTCAGGCTGGCCTTGAACTCAAGTCAGTCCCCCTACTTCAGCCTCCCAAGTGCTGGGATAACCAGCATTAGCCACCATAATGGGCTACAAGGATGGTTTTGTATTAACTCTATTAATATAATTCACCATAATATCTTTACATGGTGAAAAGGCATTTAATAAAATCAAACATTTGTTCTCTTTGTAAGCTTTTAAAATAACATTAGAAGAGTACTTCCTGGATATGATTTTTTGAAATCCTTTTTTTTTGTGTGTTTTGTTGTTGTTGTTACTGTTTTGTTTGGTTTTTTTGTTTGGTTTTTTCTGTACCGGGGATCAAACTCAGGTGCTTGCACTTGTGAGGCAGGCACTGGAACTACTGAGCTAAATCCCCAGCCCAAAATCCTGGTATTTTAAAACAGCACTTATTTAACAGTGAGATACATAGGAGCCTTCCCACAGGATCAAGCGTGATGCACTTGTTGCTGTGCTCTTGAAGTGCTCATCAGTACTAGAGGTCAGAGTTCATGCTACCTGGCATCCACTTGTGTATTTAAAAAATTACCATTTTAAACTGAGAAAAGACAAACTGGAAACCTTTTAGAAACAGTAGATTGGGCCGGGAATTTAGCTCAGTGGTTCCATCACCTGCCTCGCAAGCACAATCCCAAGTTCAATCCCCAGTACCCAAGAAAAAGCAATAGATAAAGACTGGGGATGTAGCTTGGCAGTGCCACACCTGCCCAGCAAGCAAAAGATTCTAAGTTTGATCCTGGTTACTGGGGAAAAAAAATAGAAGGAGTAGATAGATGAATAGATACACCCAAATACTAGTGTGTATTCCCAGCACTTGGGAGACTAAGGCAGGAGGATCAAAGTTCAAGGCCTGCCTTGCTATACAGAGAGGGGTTTTTGGTTTTTGGGGGTCTCACTATGTAGCCCAGGCTGGCCTCAAACTTACAGCAGTCTTTGCCTCAGCCTCCTGAATGCTGAGATTACAGGTACCATGCCCAGCTATACAGTGAATTTTTTTTTTTTTTTTTTTTTTTTTTTTTACCAGGGATCAAACTCGGGACCTAATGCTTGTGAGGCAGGCAGTGGAAACCACTGAGCTAAATCCCCGGCCCTAAGCAGTGAATTTAATACCAGCCTCAACTACATAGCAAGACCCTGTCTAAAGAAAAAATCTCAAATACTATTTGCAGTATACAGAATACAAAGCATACAGTACCATAGAAATAAATCTGAAGTGGAAATGTGAAGAAAGATATAGAAGTATATTGAAGGAAATAAAGAGGCTTAAACCTGTAGAGAGATAAGCTTTGTTCTTAGTTTTGGTTTTTGTGGTACTGGAGATCAAATGTAAGCTCTACAACTGAGCTACATCCCCTGCCCTTTTTAATTTTTATTTTAGACAGTCTCACTAAGTCACCCAGACTGGGCTCAAATTTATGATCCTTCTACCTGAGCATTCCAAGTAGCTGGGATTAGAAAGGTACACACCTCTGCACCTTACTTTAAATATATTTTAGGACCAGGGGTTTAGCTCAGTGGGACCATGCCTGCCTGGCAAGCATAAGGTCCTGAGTTTGATCTCCAGTACCAGAAAAAAAATTAAATATATTTTAATACTTAAAAAGTATCAACTTTTTAAAATTATTTTTAAACTAAAAAGTCTAGTCCCAAGCTGATCTGTAAGGATAGCAGTATGGTAATGTGCAGACTTGTTCTCCCAAAAGGTGATTCCCTGAGCATGATTTCCCTGCTGACTCAAAGCAAGTGTGCCAAGGCCCATGGGACAGAGGCCTGGTAGCAGTGGGTCCCACTTGGCTTTCCCTGAGACTCACACAGGAACAGGCAAATAGATCAGAGGGACAGACAGGGAGCAGAAACAGACACGTAAGGGTTCAGTGTGTGATACAGTACTGTGTCACATCACTGAGAAATGACAGACGCATTCAGTTACCATTGTGGACCAGGCACTGGTGGCAGAAGTGAGCCAAACAGAAAGCCTCTATCCTCGTGGTGTGTGCAGGCTGACCCAGCATGAACAGGGGCCCTGGGCATGCTTCAGCTGGATGGACTGATAGGGCAGGCGGGCAGGCATGTGGGCAGGGGCAGCATTCACAGTGAAACCTGGAGGAGGAGGAGCAAGGCCAAGCTGAGCAAATCAAACTAATTAGGCCCATTTAGGGACCAGAAAGAGGGGAGGTGTGGCTCGCAGGTACTCAGCTATCAGGGTACACGGGGCATCCCGGAGCCTGGTCATGGGTATGAGTGCAGAGGGAGCCACTTCAGGGTGTCACAGGGAATTACAGTTTGAAGGTCACACTGGTTGCTTTACAGAGAGGGAGACATTCTGTAGTGATTATGAGTATGTGGCTAACCACTGGGAAATACCTTGAGAAAACAGAGGAAGTAACTTTACCCATGGACTAGGAAAGGTTCTTAGCACTGCATCAAGGCCTAAGAAAATGTAAATTTTTGGCAAAAGACACCATAAACAAAGATAAAGCTAAATGAAAAACTGAGTTAAATACTTAGAACACATGATTAAGAGCCTTTTTTTTTTGGTGGTACTGGGATAGACCCAGGAGTATTGTACCACTGAGCTAGATAACCCTGCCTCTGTGTGTGTGTGTGTGTGTGTGTGTGCGCGCGCGCACACGTGTGTGTATTAGGGGCTTAAATTGTCCATGCTAACCTGAGTACCTAGGATAACAACAGGACTAAGGACTATAAGGAGCCAGCAGTGTGGCAGGAGCAGTAGCAGCAGAGGAGGCTGCAGTCCCATCACAGGGTGGCTGCTCAGCTTGGTGGCATCTTACTGGGTGATACTATTGCCATAGCTTCTAGTCCCCCAGAGGTTGGATTTTAATGTGAGCTACTTGGTCTTTAACAGCCATTTATTCAAGTATCTTGAACACTATTCAAGCCAGCACTTTATAAGCTAAAGAAAAGGGGAGAGAGATTTAGTTCAGTGGTTCCACCGCCTGCCTTACAAGTGCAAGGTCCCGAGTTTGATCCCCAGTACCAAAAAGGAAAAGGTGGGGGAATCTTCCCTGAGTCTATCAGAAGGCGCTGGGGTCACAGGGTGACCACCTGTAAGTTAATAGCAGACTGGAGGCCAACCTCAGCCTGTGTGAAAAAAGCATGTCTTCAGAGCCACATTGGGTGTGGGCAGCAGTGAGCCTCCCTCGAAGCTGTGCCACAAATGTTCTTGTCCTCCTGTAGCCCCATCCTGACTGTGAACAGGCTCCTGGGAAATTCCTCTGAGACCCAGGAGAACCCTCGGCAAACTTGTCCTCTTGTCACTGAGGACACATGTGGAAGAAAGGAAGGGTTTGTATACCAGAAGACAAGCCGTCTTCTGTGGCTAGCGAGAAGGAAGTGCACCCCACAGCGGGCAGTGCGCGAGTGGCCCTTTGTAGAAAGCCTATTGTCCCCAGGATCCCATGAGGTGCGGAGTCCTCAGTCTGCACTAGAGCTCCCAGGTCTTCTTGGGCTGTATTTTTTCTCCAGAAACAAAGCACGTCTGCATGTGAGGCAGGTGCTCGTCAGCCTGCTCTCTCTGCTGCTTCCCCCACCACTCCTGACCTGTTTTCTCTCTTCCCCTCCAAGGAATGGACTCTAAAGGTTTCTCAGGTGCTGGTGCTCTGTCTAGTGCCATAGTGTGCAACTGTCCCCTGTTCTCTCTTTGAATTGTTACCTGCTAGCCCAGGAAAGTTCTGTAGTTGCTCAAATAAAGTTTGAAAGGAAGGTCAGGCAAATATAAATCCATCTAATTTCCTCTGGTCACGTAGCCAAAGATTTTGTTCCATTTGTCCTGTTCGCATCAAAACAGAGATCATCCCGGTTTCCTTGATTTCTCACCAGGAGACCGATTGAATTCCACCCCAGCATCTGCTGGGGCTTCTGAGAACACAAAGCCCTTCAGAAGAGCAGTGGAACAAAGCATGCACTGTCCTGCGCCTGTTCTCTGGCCTCATTAACCAGCAGGGCCAAGAAGAATCTCTCATTGTCAGCAAGGGAGTTGTCCCTTCATGGTTTGCAGGGATGTTGGGTTTCAGCCTTAATGAGTGGTGATCGCTTGGGAACAGTTGTGGGGGTGCAGCACTGTCTCAGCCCAGAAAGGAGTAGACCTCCCTGCCTAAGGGCAACGGTTGCCCTCGGCATCACTGAGTCCAGTGTCATGACTTTCCTTGTCCACATGTGGCTGCGTGAATGGGAGCTAAGGGGCTGAGGAGCTATGTCTGTCCCTCGCTGTAAGAGCCACTTCCAGCATCTAGATTCGGGAAGTGCAGCAAGATTGTTGTTCTCCAAGGACAAAACAAAGTCGTTATTTGTCCCAGGTTTTGGCTAGGAGAAACCATGGAG